GCCTCCCAAAGTGCTGGGATTACAGGCATGAGCCACCACACCCGGCTCTTTTGTATGTTTTAATGTGTTTAGTCACACAGTACTTACCACTGTGTTACAACTGCCTATAGTATTCAGTATAGTAACATTCTATACAGGTTTGCAGCCTCGGAGAACTGGGCTATACCACATAGTCTAGGTTACGTGTAGTTGGTTCTACCATCTAAGTGTATGTAAGTACACTCTATAATGTCCACATGCACAGTGATGAAACTGCCAAATGACACATTGCTTAGAACATACTAAGCTACATACACATAAATGTAATTTGGAAGCAGAAATGTAAGCCTATATTTTTACATTAGCCTCTTATTGGAATTGACTAGTAACAATATTCCACAAAGATGTCCTGCAAAGTGATTATTTGTGCTCATTTAAAATGTAATGACATAGTTACCTTTAACCCTCTTGCCACATTCAAAGCAACTTTCAAAATTACGGCTGCTGGAAAAGGATCTCGGCTGTCTTTATATCTTTCTTCTATTAAGTCATTTAGAGACTTTTCACCTCCATATTCCATAGCAAGACACAGACTGCCATCACTGGCTTCAGTAAAAGCACGATAACCTTAAAGAAAATATGACATTTCTTTACTAATATAGAGAAGAACAATAATATTTTAAGTCCTTTATAGTAATGCGATTGAAAACATGGACCTGGGCTAACACTAACAAATATACAATGAAACGGCTACCACTTAGAAGACTAATTCAGTAGATCTCATTTAAAATGCCTTCAGTGTTTGCCATTAGTACTACAAATTAAAACTTTTGCTTTCCTTTGCTTCCCTAAATATAATGGTTTCGCCGGCCCTACTTGTATTAAAAATGAAATCCAGGAAATTACCTAAATGGATTTAAATTATCTAAACAAAGATCATTTTATATTCCTAAAATCTTCATAGAACTAGCAACATAATTATATTTATTCTCATTAAGTTTAAATATATACTTACGCATAAAAAATATATGCAAATTTTTATTTTAGACTGATCACATTACTTTGATTCCCATTAAACATCCAGCCCCATCCTCTTCATTTCTATTACTGAAACCAGTTAAGAGAGCATATAAGCTGTTTCTGAATAAACAATGATGTACCAGATACTGCTACCAAATTTAAACTTACCAACAATGTTTGGATGATGAAGGCTTTTCAAAATCTTAGCTTCATCAATTAGTCTCTTTTGATACACACTTCGATAATGATCATTACATATAGGATTAATCTTTTTTACAGCCCAAGGAGAATGAGACAAACCTCTTGGAGATCTAAGAAAATTGGATAGAAAACAACAAAAACCACAATACTTTTTAAAACAATTAACTTCCAAATTTGGGGGGGAAAACTTGAAGGTAATTTGTTTAAAAAAAAAAACAACAGTATTTGGCATATTTTGGACTAAACACGTCCGCTACATTTCCATTTCAATTGGGAGATAAGATCTAATATACTGAGAGAAGTCTTAGTATCTTCCCAGTGGGGAGGATAAAAAGAACTTGAAGGGTAAAGATGTAATGTTACAAACTTTAAACCTGAAAATTGCTGCTTTCTAATTTCTCCATTTGGGTATGTTGATCTACTAACTACTTATTAAATATTGTATGTATCAGATGAGTTATAGGATGCTAAAGAAAAAATATTAGGAAACTTAAGAGATACTCAAGAACATTTTGCCCATATATCATCATCCAAAGACTAGCATGCTGTTCTTTACCAACAATTATTGCTCCCCTACAGTGACCAATTCATCTTACGCCTTCCACCACATGCTCAAAGATACGTGCTTAAAGAGATAATGATAAACATACAAATGAGAACAATTTAAACTTTCTATTTGCTAGGAAGATTCAGCCATTTTATAAATACATAAGGTCTAAATGTTTTAAGGCCTAAATAGTTCAAATAAAGTCAGAAAAAGGTTTACCTGAGGTAGTAGGGATTTATGAGTATAGCAGATCACAAAATACTAAGTATCTGTAGCATAACAGTTTTCACAAAAACTAGTGAAAGAGCCTCAAAAGTTTAAGACACAAAGTTTAATGGTAAGAACACGAGAAACTGAACCAAAGATCTATTTAGCTTTGCACTCCCCTCAAGAGCTCTATGGCTGCAGAACCTTTTTTATCAAAAAGCCTATTCTAAAAGTATAAGATTTCTTAATTCATATACATCCATCCATAAGTTTAAACTATTCTTAAACCTCCAGTTTTAGATAACAGCAGCATTTGAGGATTATGGTGAATATCTGCATATCATTTTATTATGAAAAATGTATTTTTCAAGTTTCAAAGGTTGAAAGTTTAAAATTTAGTAAACAAGTTCATCTTCACCTTTTCCATAAAATATTCTATTCTGCAGAATAAGAATAGATTTATGAAACCTGAATAAAATATTCAACCACGCAAAAAGCTGGTTCATTAAAAAGACTAACAGAAAACAGGCAAAGTTCTGATGAGAATACAGAAAAAATAAAGATAATATCACAAATAAAAAATGGAGACAAAACTACAGATACAAGAGAAAAAATAAATAAAACCTTTATTCCAGTTATTTAAGAAATAGACAAAGACTTAGAAAAATCTAAGAAAACTGATTAATGAAATTTAATCACCAGTTTAAAATGTTCTGTAGTGGGTAAACCCTGCAAGTGCCGTGGCAAGGGTCTGAAGACTCAGCCTGTTCCCATAGAAATACTGATTTAGAAAAGAATTAGAAATGTAGGCACGTAGTTATGTAATCATATATGATCTTTATAGTTACTTATAATCAAAGATATGTATTTTATATAATCTTACAGTTACTTATAATCCTAAAGATATATACTCAATATAACTTTTACTAATGACTATCGGGTTATGAAGCATAGAACTGAGGTGACATTGTGAACAAAGTGATCCTAAGGCAAGATGCTCTAAACCCTCTGTCACTGCCACATAAGGGCTGATGGAGGGCGCCTCGGCTGTGCAGCAGCACCAGCACTGTGAAAGCACCCAGTGTTTAGCCAGCTAGGGGAGGAGATGTCCAAAATGACCAAGACATCTCCCTTCCTGAGGAAGTCAGGAGAAGACTCTGCTTCTCTAAGCTCTTGTGGCAAATCCAGGGGCTTAACTGTCTCTATGTGATGCTTTGCCTTCAGTGGTCACATTCCATGTCTACTCTCGCACCCTGCTTCTGCACCTGGTTTGTCTTAAAAGAATAATAGTAATCTTAGTGTCCTTGATATTTCTGACAAATATGCAAAGAGCACTGATGCATTAGCTTTTCTCCTCGCCTCAGCTACTTGAAAGTATTGGGCCCCCATCTCCAAGACACATGATTTACCTGAACCTATCACCGACCACCATTACTGCACTCTACCTTCCCTGCCCATTGCTTTGTACTCAATAAAAGTCAGAGTGTCCAGGCACTCGGTGCCACTGCAGGTCTCCACACTTTGGTTGGCAGTGGACCCCCGAGCCCAAACTCTCTTTTCTCTACCTCTGTGTCTGTGTCTTTTATTTCTACAGTTTCTCGTCTCCGCACCAACAGGGTGGGGGTCCCAGAACCCTATGGGGCTGGAACCTATAATGTTCCTACTAGAAATACAAAGTGTAGATGAGTTTATTAAGCTTTCAAAGGATTTACCATTCAGTCCATACAAACTGTTTCCCCAGGGAACAGAAAAGAGACTATGAGTCTCATGTAACTTTAATTAAAAAAAAAAAATCAAAAGGGACAGTAGAAAAAGGAAAACACAAGCCGACTTCACTCATAGATACAAAAATTGAAACAAACTTTAATATTAGCAAACTGAATCCATCAGTTTATTTAAAAATACTACATCAAAACTATGTTGGATTTAACCTAGGAATGCAAACTTGATTTAACAATTAAAAAAATATCTTCTGGGTTAAAATTGTAGCTTAAACATACACATTGGGGTTTTTTTTTGGTTTTTTTTTTTTTTTTTTG